CAATTAATAAAGGCTTTAATTTGGAGCATTTCTGTGTTATGATGTGTACAGATGCATGGAATCTTTTGCTCTACAGATAAGCCTACCCATGAATCTTACAGGACTTTTTTAGGAATACTATCCATTTACACTGCTGGATGTTTATTGAAGCAATTTAGCCTAAGTATTTCACTCGAGGGTACTGCAACAGTTCCACAGCCAGGGGGAACTTTCGGCACTTTGATTACAAGTGATTCTGGAACACTAAACCACACTGGTCCCCAGCAATTACAATGATAGCAATCCCAGATCGGTTTACACTAATGAGCATCTGTGATACAATTTCCAACTCGGTAAATTCTGTACAAATTTTATTCCTACTATAATTATTTTTGTTATTTGGTAAATACCTTGCAGTAGCATGTGCTGAACACAAATAGCAACGTGACATGCATCATTCCCATCTGACTAGGTGAAAAAATCTTGCAGTATTGGAATAGAGCTGAATTTTTTTTTCCGACTGTTATGACAGCCAAATTGAGGTTTACTTAAACCTTCTCCTCTCTCTCTCTTTCTGTGACTTTTTAAAGATCTTTTGACATTTCTTTAAGTTTTCAATCAATTTTTGCTTCTCTTTTGCGCATATAGTCTGGGGATATTTTGGTCTGGCTCATGAAGGTGCAGATCTCTCTGCTTTCTAGTCCAGTTTTCCTAGTAGCAACAGGTATATTTCATGCATATCACATCTAGTCTGTGCAGGTGATCCTGTGAGTCATTGTGGAGGTTAAGGTCAGTTTAGTTCAGTTTTATTTGTGTAGCACTTTTAACTGAAGAACTGTCACAAAGGTGCTTTACAAAATAGCAGTAGGGCAGATTCCCGGTTTAAGTCCCCAGAATAGCTTATGAGGCAAAAAATAAATAAATAAATAAATCCCAGTAGGGTGAAAAATCCTTAACCCCATAAACCTTAACTTTATGCTTGAGTTTTTCCTTAAGTGGGTTCAAAGCTAGAAAAATAATAATATAAATTAATAGATAAATAAATAAATAAAAATAAATACATAAATAAAAATTATCTCACATTGTAGGAAATGTCACATTTATATTCTGTATCTGTTAGTTGCATCGCTTCACTGAAGCTACATCTCACTTACACTGAGTGTAATATTCAAACCCAGGATGCCATGTTATAAACAGCCACAGCATAAAATCAAACGGAAAATATCTAGATCATGTTCATTTTTTATACATATTTACCTGTAATTTAGCGGGACATGCAGCATTTGGGATTGTTGGAAACCTTGGAATTTCCACTAGAATTTAAAATAGACCTGAAAGTTTTACTGGTTTGAATGCCGCAGCTGCATTTTTAAAAAAATATAAATTTGGCATCTCCAATCCCACCTGAATCTGGAATTCCCAATTTGAGAACTATGTACAAGGCTTGCGCGTATTCAACCCCTTTTTGCTAGCTCAGGAGAGAGAGACAGTTCGCGGTTTTCCTCCGAAGCACGCGCCTGTCAGCCCCTACATCTTTACACTCATTGGTCGAAACTATCGCAAGTTCAGAACGAGGGCGGAGGATACCTGAACATAAGCAAGCTTAGAATCTCACTGACGAGCGCCCGGCTGGCCAACAGGGGGTGCTTGAGCAACGAACAAGGCAATTATTTTTAATTTCCCTTCCTGGCAGTCCCTTCCAAATTTGCATACCCGCAGCGCTATAGCCAATCATGCGGTGCCCTGAAAAAGCTGCCAACCACTGCCAGTTGGTACGACCGGGGATTGAACCCACGCCGTGGTAGTCACTACTGCTCCGCAAATGCGGTGCCTTAACCGAGTGAGCTAACCCGGCAGCTGCAGCTGCATTTGACGGACCCATATATGGGTCCTCAGGCTTTATGGGTTAAACAGTTTTAAGAAAAAACTGCCCAATGGGAAGGAATCTCAGGAGGGCCCTGGTTATAATGGGGGAGCCCATCCACTCCTGGTATTCCAGTAATGCTGTTACTGGAAACTCTGTCATCAACATTATCTTTGTGAAGCTCACAACGTACTGTTTTTGTTGAGCCTGGAGATTGATGGTAGATAATTATATCATTTTTATGACCAAAGCTCCTGCAGGTCAGAGACCAACTGTTTGGCTACAGTGGAAATACTGTGTATCCACATCTTGCTTTGGAGACTTACTTGGCAAAATGCTAGTGATATGACCTCTTTTGGCAGAAATATGCTTCTAATTAGCATTCAAATTATTAGTGATAACAGCAGTAGTAGTAATTAATAGAATGACCTATGTAGATGCTTTTATTGTGCTTTTGAGACATTAAATTCCAAGCCACTTTTCAGGGTTGCAGTCAATATTCTCCTGTATTTCAATCTTGTATTGATTCTGTTTGATTTTTCATGAGGACTGAAAGACAGCGTCCTCTCAATCATCCAGTAAATCACTGTCCTTATCGGGCTGGCCTTGCCTCTCACCTTCTCCCGCCCAAATCCCCGAGTATTCCAATCATTCATCTGTGTTATTTTTTCACATTATTAATCTTTATGTCCTTTCTGACTGGGGCCTGTTCAGAATATGTGATGTTTTAATTCTTGGGAGAAATGAAAAGCCGTATTGTGGTAAATGGACTGTGAAAGAATGGCAGTGGCCGATTAGAGCGGCATATGAGGAGAGATCGATTCTTGACAGGCGAAGAATTGCCGCTATAAGAGATCGCCATCTCTTCCAGCAACTGCCTCCCAGACTGACGATTGCATGTGTTCAGTGTTAGATGTGCTGCAGGATTACTGGACAGCGTCTTCATCCATCCATCCATTTTTTAACCTGCTTAGACTGATATAGTTGCAGGAGGCTCTCAGTAGCCAGTGGGCAAGAGGTAGGAATAACACCCTGGACAGTTTTCTAATGTCTTGCATAGCACACAAATCATTAATTCACACGCTCCTACCTAAGGACAATTTGAAAGCTCCATTTGCCGTAGAATGCATGTCTTTGGAAGGAAGCTGGGGTTCCCATTGAAAACCCACACTGCCACAAAGAGAGCGTGCTAACTCCACAGCAGAGGGCCGCGGCTGGACCCACACCCAGTACCCTTCTGCTGTAAGACGACAGCTAATGTTGCCCAAAATGTGTTCATTTTCATGAGACTGCAGCTGCAGTTGGACTTTAGTAATTCAACAGATCTATCCGTTTGCTAACTATACTATCCATGCTTTGAATAATTGAGGCAACAAAAAAAGATGAAGATAGTCAGGCTTTGTTGAATACAGATTCCAGCATAATTTCAGTGAGACGGGGTGTAATGGATCGACTACATTTCCAGTGTCATCTATTGCTCGGAATCTCTGAAGTGCCGCTATTTAAAAGCTGTGTAGTTCTGTTCTGGCATCGTGATGTAGCATAAGGCACACTTTACGCTGCCGCTTCTTAATTTCCGTTTCGCAAAGCACGCGACTGAGACGCATGTATCAAACAGAGTGCGTGGTGCTTGGCTGGTGGCAATCCACTGGCAGCTTATCAGATGGTTTTGCTCCGCGCTAATCGTGCTGACATTGATTCCCTGATGATAATAATCATTTCATTTCAATAATTATCGGCCATATTCATAGCAGCAATGTTGGGCTAAGGAAAGATTATGAATGCTATTCATTACTACTACTACTGCTACTACTATACTGCTGGTAGTACTACTACTACTGCTACTGCTAATGCTACTGCTACAACTAATACAGCCACCTCTGTTACAACAACTGTTTGTACTACTATTACCACTACTGGTACTACTACTACTACTACTACTACTACTACTACTACTAATAATAATAATAATAATAATGAGAAGGAAAATAATAATCATACTGTATTACTGCTGTATGCAGTACATACTTCCCAGCAGGTCTCCAGATAAACATTTTCCCTGGTGGCTTAGGACATGTCTTGCGGGCATTTCTGCGGCTCATGTTATCAGGAACACTGCTGCTGCCTGTTCCAGGGCTTTCACTGCCCTTCTTGGCTGGAACAGAGTCATCAGTCTGTTTCGGCCCGAGCCCTCTCCCCCACCGCTGCAGCTGGGCCGCGGGCTCTGTCCCTCCGGAGAGAGTACAGCCATTACGGCTCCACATCATAAAGCATTCGCCAAATGCTGCAGAGATATGCTGAGCAGCTGCCTGCTACTACCGCTCTCCCCGTGTTATAACTCACTCTCTCTGACAAAACTTTAGGCGAACGCTCGTGTTCTCTGTGTCCCTTTTTTTTGCTCAACTCCAACTTCCCGAAAAAATTGACATCTGTTCCTAGATAGGAGTTGGTGTGGTTAAAATGAATTAAAATGTGTGCGAATTGGATAATACTATATGAAGAGTACATTCAGAGATGTAAAATCCAGGGGTCAGAAAGTAAAAGTCCTGCCAAGTTTTTCTCCCTCCCACAGAATGAGCTGATCATTCATATTGGCTCTATCTCCTGTGAGAAGTAAATCCAGGTGGTTGGAATAAAGTTCTAGGGAGGATTTTTGCTTTCTGAACCCAGACTTTACACCTCTGAGTACATCTAAGTGGAAGCTCCCTATCAATCTAGAGCTAGTTTGTACACCGGTTGATCTATGGTTTCCTATTTTTTTTTCTTTATAATTTGGCATCTCCAATCCCACCCAAATCTGGAGTTCCCAATTCGAGAACTATGTACAAGGCTTGCTCGTGTGCGACCCCTTGTTGCCAGCTCAGGAGAGAGGGACAGTTCGCGGCTCTCCTCCGAAGCACGCGCCTGTCAGCCCCTGCATCTTTACACTCATTGGTCGAAACGTTTGCAAGTTCAGAACGAGGGCGGAGGATACCCAAACATGAGCAAGCTTAGAATCTCACTGACGTGCGCCCGGCTGGCCAACAGGAGGCGCTTGAGCAACGAATAAGGCAACCATTTTTAATATCCCTTCCCGGCAGTCCCTTCCCAATTTGCATCCCTGCAGCGCTATAGCCAATCATGCGCTGCCCTGCAAAAGCTGCCGACCACTGCCGGTTGATACGATCGGGGGTCGAACCCGCGCCGTGGTAGTCACTACTGCTCCACAAATGCAGCGCCTTAACCGAGTAAGCTAACCCAGCAGCCTATGGTTTCCTTTTTAATTAGAAAATATGCTCAGGAAATATAATGAAAGAATGTGTCAAAATCTAACTGGAATTGTCTGTACATGTGTTTATTTCATTACGACTTGATCACTGTAATTCTCTGTTTACCTGCCTCAAAAAATCATCTGTAGATCAGCTTCAACTTGTCCAAAATTCTGCAGCGAGACTGCTCACTAGATCAAAAAACTCATGTCACATCACCCCCATCCTAGCCTCTCTACACTGGCTCCCAGTACACGTCCAGATCCAGTTCAAGGTCCTGGTGCTTACTGACAAAGCCCTCCACGCTCAATCTCCAGTTTACATCTCTGACCTTCTCCAGCCAAACTCGCCCAGCCAGTGTCTGAGGTCGACCGACTAGTTGCTCCTGGTGGTGCCTCGGACCAGGTTAAAGACCAAGGGTGACGGAGCCTTTAGGTCAGTGGCCCCAAGGCTCTGGAATGCTTTCCCCCAGGACCTGAGCCTCGTCCTCTGAACTCATTTTCAAAAAACTACCAAAAACACTCCTGTTCAGACAAGCTTTCGGCCATATATAGCCAATCTTACTGTATTTCCCTGCCTTCCGTGTTTTCTCCTTGTTTTAATTTATTGTGTCTGACTGTGTACTTTATGTATGATTTTTTTTTTTAAATTTAATATATTTTATCTCTATGCATTCGTGCTGGGAAGAGTGCTATAAAAATAAAGTTTTACTTACTTTATACTAAGTGAGGAGGATATAATTTTGAAAGTTCTTTGGGGGAACTTGAACCATGAAGGAGAGCCAGGAGCTGCAAATGTAGGTGTTCATTTGCAGAAAGGGTTGGTTATATTTCCCTAAATTGGAATAGATTACCACAGTCAGATGATGAAGCTGCTGGTGTACAAGCTCATGGATCTGAAAATCTGCAGTGCACTCTATTGCACCAACTCAATCTGACTTGACAGCTAGGGACTGTTTTCCATTGGTTGGCCCCAGGGGACCTAGGGCCCGAGGAGAGGGATGTGGGAGGGTTTAATGGAGCACAGCATCATGAACCCTGGCTTGCTTAAACCCATGCTGCTTCTGGCAAGACAAAGCCAATCATGTCCCGGTGTTGTGCACTATTAGTCACAGTTGGCCACGGGGACTCAAACCTGTAATGTTCCTCAGGCTCTAAGGCCAAGCCTCCATCCACAGAAATTACCTTTACTGCCAGAATCGGTCTGGAGCCCTGAAGATGGCAGCATTTTATACGTGTTGCAAGTCAGGAGAGGAATTCAAATCAACATGCGCTCTGTTTCTCCAATATCTGACGGGCGCCTGCCGGCCAAATGGGACATGGAGTCATTTGTATCGAAATCGAATCCCAAGTAAGCATCGCTCTTAACTGGCAAATATCTTCTGCTCCCAGTGATATTTATATGGTTACGACCACCGGGGTCAGGGCTGTCAGACGTGCCCGTCTGAGTTTAATACGCGGTGCAGAGTCCGAGCTGGAGAGAGTGGACCGCTGTGGTGGCCAAGCTCGCGCTTCGGTCATCTCGACGTCCCCTGCGGTGCTGACTTGGATCGTCCCTGGAGCTCGATGCTCGTCATCTCGGCGGAGGTGAGTCCAGGAGAGCCACAGGGGAGAAAAACAAATAAATGGATTTTCTATCCCGCCCCCGTAGAGATCTCTCACCCTTTCTCTACACAACTAAAGATGGCCGACTGCATGCTGGGTAATCTGACTTTCCCCCGTCTGTGGATTATTAGCTGTTGTCCCCCCCCCCTTTCTTTAGCAACCCTAAAGGACCCTTTCATCTGTGGCGGGAGACAGCAATGGTGCTAATCTCTCCTGTTGTAAAGGTGCAGGTTTCCATGCATAATAAACAATGCTGGAGTTTGTGTGGGCTTTGTTCTCAATTATGTGGTGGATTAAAAACTACCCAAACTGAATCTTAAACGCCTCGGATAAAGTGGGCCATATCCGAATACCTTTGTGCACACGGACCCTCACATACACATTCAAATCGCACTAACTAGTTCAGAGCAGCAAAATATAGTCCTTTGCGAGTTTGGAGAGATGCATTTATATTTTTTGTTAGATTTTTTTAAATTAAAAATCATTTCTGCAATAATTTGGCAGCCAAGGTGAGGTGGTCATGTCCAATTTTGGGCCTAAATTGAAATGGCTAATCTTTTCGCAAGCGCAGCCACGTATGTCACAATATTCAAATATTGTTTCATCAATTTATACACAAAATCTGTAACGTCCCCTGCTTCTTTCTACTCTAAAAACTTGAGCTCCTCTTGGATCAAGTGGAGTTTGAGGAAAATCTTTGACTTTGGACTTTGTCTGCAGTCTACTGGTACCCAATTCACCAGCAAGGGTCACTCGATAGCATATAGACCTTTGTCCAACTGAATCCTCCCTTTTCCAGGAAATACAACCTAAATGATCCAGCCAGCAGCCCCAAAATATCACTGCTGTTGGCCAAAATTCCATTTTCTCAGATTTTTGCCAAGGTATTTACAGTATTTGTAAAATTTATCCTGGCAAGGTCAAACATTTATTGCAACGTATCAGTGCAGACTTTCCAGAGTTCCTCTTGCCTTGATGAAATAGTTTGGGCTGTACTGCCCTCTGGGGGGAATTTTATAGTGGTGCACCATGTAAGCTGGGAACAAAAACTATCAGCTAATTCTTGACACATTTTAATTAGATTTAGAAAATTTTTGACATTTCATGGACAGGAAATATCAGTTTCACAAATAATTCACATGAAATACCATGTAGTCATGGAGAAGAAAAAAAAAATGACAGCACTACCTCCAATGACCTGACAAGACCGTTTCAAAAAAGTATGCAGACAAGGTAACGTAATGAGGTGAGGGCCAAAGAGTCAGGAACTGGTCTTTTAATAGCCTCATTAGCTTTGATATCTCTCCTGTGCTAAATTATTTCTCAAGTGAATCCATAGGAACCATTTCAGCATCTATGGAGAAGAAAAAAAAGTTCCCAACAGGTAAATGTCCTTTTCAGGAAAAAAAAAAAAAAAAAAAAAAAAAAGATCTAGATCAAATTAATAGGTTTTTCTCTTTGAGTGTTAAATTCAATATGATGGAGCTAAATATGATATCGTATTTATTCACAAGACACTGAAATTAGTAAGCACTCTGAGTTTCTTATGTATAGATTAGTCTACCAACTATTGCAGTTCTATTTGCACAACACATCACTTATTCTGAGGAATCATCTGGTTTCACATATATTTTCAAATGTCCTCACTTATGATTCCTTCAACTGCTGAAAACAATTTACGCTTTGTCAGTCACTTTTATGTATTTGTCATTATGTATTGGCATTTCATTCAGGAACAAATGATTTTAGTGGACAAGCTGAAAAACTGCCGTAAATGAGCTTTGAATTAAAAAGTCAAGGCACAATTTATGCTCTAATCTCAATTGATCTGTTAATATCACATCTTAAATTCACATTTGTCTGCCCTAAAGCTTATGTTAATCCATAATTAGAGGTCATTTTAGATTTAGGTTTGGTAAATCATAGCTCATTGGTGCAGAATGTGAATTATTTTTACATCATTTATTAACCACTAACTATGCAGTAGATGTCTTTTGACGTATTTTATATGGTGACTAACTGGCAAGTTGTTGTTTGTACTTTGGTGTGCATACTAATTTTTTTTTTTTTTCTTCTGAGTGCTGAATTTTTAATAACGCAGGAAGTTGTCTGCACAGAATGAACTGCAGTGGCCTCAAAAATTATTGGCACCCTTAGTGAATAGGAGCAAAACAAGCTCGGGGAAAAATGTCTCCTCTGTTTATTTTCTTGGTTTCTCATTCAAAATATTTTTAAAAATTGTACCTTTTCTCTGAAGTAAAATTGTAGAAAGAAAAAACTGTTGACTTTCAAAAGCTATTTTTGCTCCAAATCGTGTGGCTCAATTATTGGCACCCAGCAAAAATCCTATCATTGAAATCTAGCTGAATTTATTTTTCTAGTTCTATTTTACATTTTTAAATTAACCTGTTTGATTAGCAACTCTTAAGTGGTCAATTTAGACTTTTTGTTTTACTTAGGTATTAATATGAGGTGACATGGGCCAAATTCCCTCCGTCATTCACCACTATGGGAAAGACTTGAGAACACAGTGACGATGTGCAGCAAAAAGATCTTAATGCACAAATCAGGATATGGATTTAAGAAAATCTCTGAACAATTTCCAGAATCAGCGCAATAACAGTGAAGTTTAAAGTGGCAAAAAATGTTAAGAGTCTGCTGGATGAGAATTGTATTGCCGCCACACACTGTAAGGAGGATGGTTCGGCTGGCAAAAGAATCTCTGGGGTTCATAGCTAGAGAATTGTGGAGGTTAGTTGAGTCTTGGGGTTAAGAAAGTTTCCAGATCTACCATCTGTTGCCACCCACATTGCCAAAAGTTGTGTTGGGTGGTTGCCAGAAAGAAAAGCCTCCAGTGTCAATCAACAACATACCAGAGCACCTGCAGTTTGCCAGACGTTGCTGGGACTTTTCATGGGATCAGATTTTGTGATCAGATGAGGCCAAAACTTTTTCACAACAAACATCTAACTTGGGTTTGGTGTAGGTGGGAAAATAGTCACATTGAGAAGCATCTCATACCCACTTGCTATGGTCCAGGCCAGGGACCAAATGCAGAGTCAGAGTATAATCCTGTAGTAGGGTTTATTGATAGTAATATGGTATTAACAGAGGGACGGAGCCCACAGCAGAATAACTGAGTTCAGTTCAGATGGTGTAGGTTTTAGTGCAAGGGTGTATCTGTGCCTGGCCAGTGGCGATCCAGGTCAGCTGCCAGACAGAGTGCACACATCATCAGATGGCAGGACAATGGAATTTAGCAGGAAGACAGTCTCAATCCTGATAACTGCAAAGGGCTTGGGAGGTTGTTCTTAATAATATGGGCAGGGGAACAGACTGAGGTTTGGTTTATAGCATCACAGTCCTAATCCTGAAGACTGAGAGTGAGGC